GCATGAGTCGTGGGAGGATGTAGAAACTTTTTAATTTTTTTCTTTAAATATTTCCTTTCTTGTTTTGCATTCTCATTTTTAAGCAGCGTTTGCATCTATAATTTGGTTCTAATATGTCTTACTTAAAATTTAATAATGTATTTAATATTTAGTAGGAAATCGATATCTGATTGTTACGGATTAGTAATTCTAATTAGTATATAATATCTACATATTTAATATTAAGTTAGGAATTTCTTTATTGTATTTTTTCTTTGATCAAATAAAAAATCATCTGAAATAGTTATTTCAGTTTATTTTATGATTTGAGATTGATTTTCAACGTCGGAAATCATAATTGTTATGCTTACTTTCTCTATGTGGCCTTTTGTATCTATACGAAATATTATCTTTTTTTTTTAATTTTTCCAGCTTCTTTTTACCCTTTACACAAAACGTACTCTTCACTTTGATTCCCAGAATAGTGTCAAGTTATTAAATTGTGTCACAAACCGATATGGATGATGCTATTAGCGAGCATAGTGCTCCAGGTGTCTTCATCGAACAGAAAGTCTCTCGAAAGGAAAGAAAAAAGCAGGAAAAAGCTGCGAAGTACGCAGAGGAGCTTTGGCAATGCAGTGAACGTGCTAAGAATGTCAATAAGGAGGGTGATAATCCTTTTTCGGTCACCTTTGAAGTTTCTCAAAGCGCAGAAGGTTCACGTAATATTACGTTCAACAAAGTCTCAGTTTCCGTCAACGGTAAGACACTCTTTATGGACGCAACGGTGCACCTTTCGGCTGGCTCTCGCTATGGACTAATGGGCCCGAATGGTCGAGGCAAATCTACCATCCTTCGGCTGCTGTCCACACGGGAGCTCCCTGTACAGTCCAACCTAGATCTGCTTTTGGTGGAACAAGAACAAGAGTTCCACGCTACCGAGGTTAGTGCCGTACAAGCTGTCCTCAACAGCCACAAGAAGCAAGCGGAGTACATGCAAGAGGCCAAAGAATTGGGCCTTAAAGAAAATCTCAATCAACAAGATATGGATCGGCTCAATTTCTTGGAGGAAGAACTGGACATCATGGGCGCTGCCCAAGCCGACGCTAAGGCCCGTCGTATCCTATTTGGGCTGGGATTTCCTACTGAATGGCACGAGCGACCGACAAAGAGCTTTAGCGGTGGGTGGCGCAAAAGAATTGCACTGGCTTCGGCGGTATTTATCGAACCGGACGTGTTGATGCTAGATGAACCCACGAATCACTTAGATTTAAATGCAGTTATCTGGCTTGAATCTTACCTTGCGATGGCGTACAATGAAAACGCGAAACGACCAAAAATTTTGGTTGTCGTATCCCATGATGCAGGCTTCTTGGATGAAGTGTGCACGCATATGGTGCATGTTGAGAGCCACAAACTGAACTATTATAAAGGTGGATTCCATAGTTTTCAGCAGCAACTAACGCAACGTCATCACGAATTGGATAAAAAGTTCGAAACCATCTCCAAGACCATAAAAGACAAAAAACGTAACGGGATGTCGAAGGCTCAGATAGAGGAGTGGCTTAAGGAGAAGGTTAACAATGGCCAATTGGATCCACTCTTTCTAGAAAAGAGGCGCGACTACATCGTGAGTTTCCCATTCACCGTTCCGCCTGAGCTCCCAGATGCGTGTGTGTGCAAGCTTGATGATGTATCGTTCAACTACCCGGGTAGTCCTGTTCTTTTTGAAGGAGTTAACTGTGCGTTGTGGACCACCAGCCGCATTACCCTCTGCGGGCCCAACGGTATTGGTAAGAGTACATTACTGAATCTGATGACGGGTCTTCTTAAACCTACACAGGGCACCATCACCATAAACCGTCATGTGCGTATCGCTCGGTATAACCAACACTTTGTGGACAAACTGCCCCTCGAAAAAACGCCAGTGGAATTCATCCAGACCCTGGGCATCTCTGCGGAGGACAAGGCGCGACGTCTGCTAGGAAGCTTTGGCCTGGAAGGGATTGTTCATTGCAATCAAATTGCCACTCTCAGCGGGGGTCAGAAGGCGCGCGTTGCATTTGCCTCCATTAGTGCTGAGGCCCCGCACTTTATTTTGCTGGACGAACCAACCAACCATCTGGATGTCGAGTCTATTGAAGCTCTGTGTGAAGCGATTCGTGTTTTTAGGGGTGGTGTGCTTGTTGTCACTCACGATGCACGCCTAATTGAGTCGACGGATATGCAATTGTGGGTGGCCGGGAACAAGACCGTTTCTCCGTTTAATGGAGACTTGAACAGCTACAAAGAATTGGTACGGTCCGAGTTTGAGAAAGAGGAAGCACAAAGACTAGAGGAGCAAAAGCAGGCACTCAAAGACAAGGAGTTGTCTAAACAACTGAAGCAGGCTGGCGTGAAGGATGTCGCGGGGGCTAAAGAGACGCTTATTGCAAAGGAACAGGAGGTAACACGGTCTGAATTGGCTAATTTTTTTAAAAAGAAGGAGAAGCAGAAGAAATTAAAGACTACCAAAGGTGGACCTAAATAAATCCAATTAAACGCGGAAACAAGCATAAATTAAATTTAAAACTATTAATGATAAATGAAGATGCAACGCATTTTATGATAGAAAGTCAGTGGAGTAAGCCATGTGATTTTTGTTTGCTTTTTCATATGATGTGCTTTCTTGCCCATGATTCTTCGCAAGGGAAAAACCGGATGGGAGGTCTGCCAAAATTAGCGCGGCATGGGGCGCTGAAAGAGCGTAAAAAACTTAACCCCAGGCGGGATTCGAACCCGCAACCTTTTGCTTAGGAAGCAAACGCCATATCCATTAGGCTACAAGGGCACCCGCCCACCGGTTTGTCAGTATGTCTAATTTGTGAATTAAGCATGAGAGAAAACATTCCGGTGCCGGGGATCGAACCCGGGTCTAGCGGGTGAGAGCCGCTTGTTCTAGCCACTATACCACACCGGACACACCCCCTTCATTCCGTGTGTGGAGGACTAGCAACATTGGGACTTGCACGGAAACCTACTCCAGGCGGGACTCGAACCCGCAATCTTTGGATTAGAAGTCCAAAGCCTTATCCATTAGGCCACTGGAGCGCGGCGTCCCCCTGACAATATTTTCTTGACGTTTTATTTTATTAGTTCGTTGCGCCCCGGGTTCTAGGGGCGTGTAGCTCAGTGGTAGAGCGCCTGTTTTGCATACAGGAGGCCTAGGGTTCAATCCCCTACTCGTCCACTTTTCAGTCTGTTTTACCAACTCAATTTCCAACGCCGTATCCAACCCAAACCCTTCGGAGATGCTATATAACGGCGGTATGCGCGGGGTACCCCATGAATTCTACTGTGGATCCCCCTCCATGAGTACCGACAAACGCTGTATACTATGGATTCTATTAAGCACTTTAGGGACTAGGAGGGAACGTCTTTTTAGGCTGGAGCATTCATTGATAGACATGGATGTATTTTGCCCTCATGCCCAAACAACCTAATCTAGCCCATATATGCTTATCAACGGAATAAAAAGTCCAAATACGCTTAAATGCACATACTATTCCTAAAAGTGTGCTCCTTGACACTAAAACAACATGTTAGCATCAAAAAAAACAGAAAAACAACACTTCCGCATCCGCTCAGTTTTGCAGTATCTGTATTCATTTTTTAGTGATTTTCATTGCTAAAATATAAATTAACTTGAACCCAGTACCTTTGCTGAGTGGTGCTTAACCTTACACATGTCAGAAAAAAAGCTCATAATCTTTGGAAGCCACAAATGATGCTAGTCTTTTTCACTTTTCAGTTGTGATAAATGAGTGACTGTTATATCCATATGATGATTCATAAAAAAAAATTACGAAATGCTTAGCAGGAATAGTTCCTTTATGAATAAAAAATCTCAATATTCATTTTCTCCATTTCAAACTTATTATATCAATAAGTTTTAGTACTATTTTTTATGAAAATCTGATTATAGCGTCACTTTTTAAGTATTAAGAGAAATATCAATAACCATTTAGCAAATATTAATAAGATTTATTTATACCGCTTACTCTTATTCCGTAACTATAAGGAATAAATTATAATGATTTTTCTCAACTAGTATGCAACAATTCTTAAATGAAGTTATATATTGTAATGTGTCGCAATGGCATAATAAAATCCATCATTATTCAGTGAAGGTTGTGCCGCTAAAAAGGGTTAATTATTCTATTAACAATTATCGTGTAATATAGTATAAGATAGCTAATCACAAGTATATAACATAGATGGAAAATTTAAAAGTAGGCTTGACCATACTATATTATATGGTAGGATGTACATTTGTTAAAGTGTATCCGTTTTAAGATTCTCAGTGAAAGCATTATGCGAAATAATTATAGTGGATAAGTTAACTTTAGGGGTAATTTCTAGGGCATATTTTATATAAAATCATTTCAGCACTTTTGGCATGTTTACGGATGGTGGGATCGCAGCTCACCACAAAATATCAATACAGGCTGCTGAATGGAGATAATTACAATCGGTTCTTATGCAATGCTTTCAATATTTTATGGATTTCACGGTCTAATTCTTCTTAGATACCTAGTAAAAGAGCATCACAGGCTTCTGCCCTAAGAGATCTTAACCTTTAGTATTCTATAAATGTAATCTTTTGATATCCTTCCTATAATTATTTATTGGTCTATGTTTAAGATTCTGAACTTAATATCTAATAGAATTCCTTTATTCATCCATTTAACATATTCAAAAGCTCTTGATTACGCTATAAGTATTCCTTAACGTAAATGATATTCATTTCATTTCGATTCAACTTATTATGAAAATTTAAAAAATTATGATTAACAACATTTAGTCTCAGCTTCTTAATATTTACGACATATGTTTTTGAATATTTTATTTTTAAAAATGAAATCATACACTGATATTTTCGAAAAAAATTCGAACAAAATGTAGAATTTTTATATCTTTTTGCATAATTATTTTTACTTCCCCACATTTTATTCTTATCAATTTTCAATTAAATCAATTTATCTATTCTGACCAAAATAATTAAATATCAACTAAACCAATTTTTTTCATGTAATTAATTCACTTAATAATAAAATTTATGAAATTAAAATACAGGATCAAGTGTTTATTCATCGAACCCCGAGTTGAAATTAGCAGTACGATCGGACATTTAAAACTCATACTTGTAGCAGATTTTTTCCCTCATATTGTATTCAACCAATTGAAGTTCACTATTTAAAGCTTCCCATATATGTGTCTCTAGCATATTTTTCTACATGGATAATTAAATACACTCATAGTCCTCACTTATTTTATGGTGGTAGATACATTTCTGCCGATACATAAATTCCACCCTATCCAACTATGTTTCAATACACCAGTTTCAAGAGTCTTCTTTCAGCATAAATTTCACTTAATCTATACCTCAAAAAGCTTTAAAATATATTATTTGCAGCAAGAAAAAATAATGATGATATTTTTTCACAGGGCTATTTCGAATCCTCTTCCATACCCCGTGCCACCTTTCAATGAATTTATCAGATATTATCAAAATATTTTAGCTTGTAGTATGGCATAAAGTTACGCATAGCATCTATATTGAGTGCATGTGTATCAATGTTGTGTTGGACTGAGTTTCAGATTCGACAACTTAAGAATAGTGGGCGTACCGGGTTCCCCCCACGTTTTAAAAAAAATAGGAGGCGGCTGGCCCGCCGGTTTTGTACAATTGCCCCCCCCCCCCCAATATTCTGGGAATCCCATATCCATCTTAAAAAAAACAATTTAACATTAAAAAGTTATTTTTTATTCTTTCATGCGTTTTATAATTGAATTTATGGAGAATTTGGTGTCTACGCAACCCATTTGCTGCATTGTCCTCCAATTTCGCCAATACCCAAGGATCATTGCGCAGCTAAACCTAGTAGGGAACCATACCCAGATGAACCATGTTGTGCTTCTGAACAACACCAATGGGCACTCCATCTCTTGTATTCTAATAATAGACATATTTATATCTTAATTTTTGATCTCAACTACAATGGAAACTTTTATCTTATTTTAGACGTAGCATGCACCACACATATATGTTTTATATTTCTTTACTCCCTATTCACGTTTTTTTTTTTTCACAAGCTCACAGATTCCAACCCTCCCTAAAAACAAGCTGAGATCTACATTGAATGAGGAGCCGCCACTTCTTGAGAATTTGCTGGTGTCTAGATCAGCTATGTTGTCTCTGATGTAATATTTTTTCGCTTGTTTATAAAAATTTTGGCCGCATGATTAACTCCCCTCATCGGGCCCAGGTCCGAGCGGGTTGGAAAGGGGGGGGGGATGCCATTTTTTGGAACCACCATATAATTCCGAGTTTCTTTGAAACAAAATGTTTTTAGCATTCTTTTTTTTTTAATTCGTATCTCCCGTACATCTTGAATATTTATACCGGAAAAATGTCTTAAAAATATATCTAAAGCATAAAACTAAGAAAAGGAGAAAATATGAAATATAAATGAAATCCAGAAGCTAATACTTGGCTTGCAATCGGGAAATTAACCATCGACCACATCCAAAGTAAAACTAAAAAGGTAAGATCGATGAAGACAAGAAGTTAAACTGCTGGTAGCAGATAATCCAGAAGATTAAGTTCTTGACTCCTCCAATTAAGAATGCGCGCAACAGACTCTTTATATTCTCGTGTTGTAAAATGCCATTGGTTCGGTGTGCCGCCCACGTGCGCATTTTGATTCCCTAGATGCGCCTTGGCAAAACCATTGTGTGATATTTGTTTGACCTAATTTACAATGGGATAGAACGTGCTAAACAGGCAAGATAAATAAAAAACAATACCTTATTGTCGGAATAGTTATCCAACTCAGATAAGCGCCAACAGTGTTCCGCCGGTGTGTTTAATCCTCTCGGGCGGCCTCTGGGAAGGCCCTGCCTGGTGCCCCACCAGTGCCAGTGACCATAACAACATGACTTTTTAAAATTAAAAAGGTGCGCGGGTACTTAGTTTCGCCGTAATGGCTACCATTCGGCGGTGCCGCGAAGGTGTGGCCGGCATATACCGCGGCCCTCTTTTTGTCATAAATACACCCACTGGAATAATTTCCTGAGTCAGATACTTTTCACAATTATTAGAAAGTCTTTGCGTGATTGACGGCCCATGGGCGAACGCTTTTCCTTTTCCAATGGGTACGTCGTGGGGAAATTTGTCCGCGATGCCAGTCGGATGTAGTAAATCTGTGGCAGAAGTTCCAATAGGAACAGCAACATCAAGTCGGTGAAGAATTTGAGAGACCTTTATTGGTTGGCCCTTTTTCCATTTGTGTCTTGCTGTCAGGTGGGGTCCATGTTTCTATTTATATTTCCCAATGGCGCGCGCTGCGTGGATCCGGTGGTTGATATTTGAGTAATCTTAAAAAAAAAAAATTGATGTTGGCAAAATTATCCCCCCTTTTGGTCTTCAAATTTTTTCCTGACACCGCTAGGGGGATCCACCCGGTGCCACTGGCCTTGGGATGGGTGGGGGAGTTTATTGAGCCTGATGGTAAATTTCCGAGAATCCTCTCTTTCTTTTCGGCATAGTGATGTGGCATGTGCTTGTTGACGCGCGACATTTCTATTCAAAACTGTTTTGAATTTGATTCCACACGTATTAGGGTAAAAAAGAACTTTTGGTATGGCTGGGGTTTGGTCAGGAATTATGGGACGCGGTAGTGCGCGCCCTGGGGGCGGGCCTCGTCCCTGCCCCCTCTCGGGATTTCCGACCCCCTGCGCCCCCTAAGTTTTCCATTTTCATTCTAACAGTGAATAAAACGGTTGACGTGCATTATTATTTGTATTCTATTTTCCACACAAAAGGCGATGTAATGCAAAATCAGCAGAGCTTTATTTGATCATAAAATTGCACCCACGTGCTGCGATATCACCACGTTGCGCGGATACTCTCTTTTATTCCTGCTGGTATGGAGGAATATTCATCACTTATACGGGGCGCAACTTGAATCTGAGGATTCGGAGTAAAAATTCACATATTCTTGCTGGCTTATGTTTCTTTTTGGTCGTTCTTTCCCTCAAATACCTTTAAAGCATAAACGATATTTTTTATGATATATTCACTACGCTTTAATTCATTTACATTTGTTTCGTGGAAGTGGTTCCTGTCAGTGGCGAGCTTAAATCATGAAGAACGAGTCATTAGTAATGGCAATACTCCTTTGAACCGTTTTGTCTATAACTTGCACCTATGGCTAAGATTGTTCTTCACTAGATATCAGCGGCTATCTTTTCTTGCATTTACCTAGCTATTTCTTTCAGAGTTACACAATCTCTTCTTTCATTGCGTATCGGTACTAACCATTTTATTTCAAGATTTTGCTCATTGTGTACCTGCACTTTTATTTCAAATATGATATAAGTATTTGATATATTATAATACATTATTTCCTGCAGATACACCGTGTTAATATCATTTTACGTTGTTCATAATACCAAGCTGGCACATTTCTTTTTGTTGCTTTTATCTTCATCATAATCATGATCTGCTGCACTATAACCAAATTCTTAACACAAAGCTGACCTATTACCATGCCATGCCGTGAGATTTCCCAAACACTGCTTGTATCTTTTTCTTTCAAATGACTGAACCTGAGCATGATATGACATCAGCTGTTTTTTTTTAAAGAACCGTACTCTTAGGCAGACACAACTGTCAAATTGTACTCTTCAAAGTTCACCACATCGACTGATTTTACGACACAATCTATGTGGCCTTCAATTCTCTACCTGGTTCTATAACACTTCTACACGCTGTGCAGTAAATTTACTATTCCTTTATAGTAGTGAAAATAATTCAACAGGGTTTTTTTTCTTCGGAAGCCCAACATACCTTTTAGACACCTAATCCATGTAGCCTAAATATTTAGCGCTAGTCACATTGTTGACGAACTTTATTTTTTTCTTTATTTTTTTAACAATGCATACAAAGATTTAAACGAACCTTATTCGTGTGGAAAGTACATAAAAAGTCTAAGGAAATCCATGTCAATTTAAGCAATTTAACTACATTTACACATCAACAACAAAAGTTTTCATGGTGGAAGACATTAAAAGGATAAAGAAAAGTGGAAGATAACACAAATTTTACATCACAAAGAGAATTATCGGTGCTCATAGCAATATTTTTTTCCCTAGGCTCTTGAAGCTTCTGTTTTTTGCGTGGAACTTCTTTACGGCCTCGTTAACTAAAAGGATTAAACAACCTCTGCGGGTGTAGCTACTTATCAGGAGGGTCAATTTTCGCCAAAGAAGAGGGATGAGTGCCTCAAATATTAGACTCGAATTCTAGATAAGAGATAAATACTTCTGGAATGTATTTCTTTTTTCCAACTACATTTTTTTGTCTTTCAATGATTCCCACTTTAGCGTTCCTATTATTATTTGCGTGAGTGATTAAGTAATATGTGGTGTTCATTTTTTTTTTTGTATCATGCCTTCACTGCTCTGCTCCTTCATGGTTAACAGATTTCTATACGTATTCATTTTCATCCATTTTCTAATTTTCAATATCACACAAACTACTGTTTACATGATTATCATTACATTAAGAGCAAATACGCATTTATGCGACCTATTACATTTTAAGTTGTATTTTTGATTATTATTTTCATCTTCAGAAATGGATTTTCGTCGGAGTTTATATGAGAGCTACAAGTTACTCCATAACAAACTTTATAAAGCAAAGAGTGTCAGCGATTTTGAAGCTACTGGAAAGCTTACTCCGAAGGAATTTATTGATGCTGGAGATGAGCTAATACAGAAGACTCCGGTTTGGCAATGGGTAGGTGGATCGGAAAATGTTCAGGAGTATTTGCCAATTAATAAAAAGTGCTTGGTGTATCATGGCGCGTCGTGCCTACAGCGTGCTCCAAATGGTACAAATCGCATAGAAAGTACAGAAGAAATATATGAGGATGGCTTTGTGTTAACTAAAGCAGCAATGAGTCAACCTGTAACTGCGTGTCCTGATGAAAAGGTGATTACCTGGGATGATGATGATGATGATGATGATGATGATGATGATAGCAACGATGACGATGAGGTAGCTTCACCTCCTGCTTATGATAACAAGCGTCGTGTATATGATGTATACATTGTATATGACAAGTATTATGAAACTCCTCGTATCTATTTGATTGGCTACTCAGGAGATCATATGACACCACTTTCAAATGATCAAATGAAGGAAGATGTTTATCACTCCAATTACGGGAAAACTGTGACTATCGATTCTCATCCCGTCCTTGGTATACCATGTATAAGTATTCATCCTTGCAGACATGCTGAAACAATGTCTCACCTGATAAAAAATATGAAAATGAAACACGAAGAGCAAAGCAAAAACACAGAAAACAAAAAACCATTCCAATTTCCAGTTCATTTAGCACTTTTCCTTTTTCTAAAGCTTATATCATCAGTAGTTCCTACTATACAATATGATATTTCTACAGGGTTTGACATATAAAATACTTTAATATATCTTAATCGAAAATCAAACGAAGAAAATCAAATAGAATTAAATGAAATAAATTATGCTAATAAAAAATGATCTCTTTACAATCCAGATCTTACATTAATATGCACCCATAAAGAAAATCATTATATATGAATTATACAGCATATAAAATTTTAAGTCAACATAAACCAAAAAAAAATCAATATCATAAGAAGCAACAAAAAAATATCCTTTTCCCCTTTCAGCGAAGTGTGACCCTCGCCAGACCCTCAAATGATGCATACGCTTATATGGAATTACCATCCGATTCAAAC